CGCGGCTTTTCTTTCGATGGTGGTAAACCTCGTTTCACGAGGAAGAACGCCTTCTTTCGAAAGAGGAACTTTCGAAAGAAGGCGTTCTTCAATGTAAAGAGGCCGTCTTCGAAAGAGAGCATCCAGACTCGCTGGGTGCTCTCTTTCGAAAAAGCGGATTTCTCTTTCGAAAGATCCGCCTGCAGTCTAGACATAGCCTTAGAAAAATTGACCATATGCAGCTATTGTCAGTGTAAAGTCCTTGTGTAGACCAAGCCATAGAAACTTGTGCTCTGGAGACCCCTGGTTCAGTCCCTCAGGTGTTAACCAAGATATCTGAATTACCTTCATTTTTCTCCATATGGCATATTCAAGTCCCTGGGACTATGAAAGGTCCTCCCTTTTTTAAAGATTGTCACTCTGATTATACTGGAGATATTACCTTTAAGGTTGTGCTATGATTTCAGATTACAGAAAGACAAAATGTAACAACATTCTGCACAAACTTTCCCTCCCCCAGCCCCAGTTGATTTAAGAACAACAAGAAAACTCACCAGAAACATTTAATAAAAAATAGTCACATAAAAAATGTGCAACCTCTGAAAAATAAGTAGTATCACTGATGTGCACTACGCTAACCTTCTTACAATTTGCAGTCATTTTTAAAGAATTAAATCTAGCTAATAATAGTTACAAAGTCTTACTTTGAAATAGTAGGGGTGCCATTAGTCTGTACTGTACTCTAATCCCGTTTATTTGGAGACGGGTTAATTTTTATCTGGATTTCAAACCCTTCAGAGTGTTGAATTCCGGGGTCTTCGGCTCTGGATATTGATTCATTCTAAAGAGGGATCCTCATTATGAAATGCCAGATTGAATTCCAGCCTAGCCCAGCAGTAAAGCAGTGTTGGAATCCAAACCTCCTGAGTCTGGTGTCTCTCTCGCACTGCTCTGAATAATTGACTATTATTGATATTACATTTTGAAGCATTATTCACTCTTAGTATGCATTGTAAGTGCACATAGTACAGCAGGTGCCACAAGCGTTTGCTTACATAAGTGACCCAGATGGTCTTGAGGTAGCTATTGATTTCTACTGGGTAAACTGCACCAGTTTGAAAGTGCAAATATGTATATTTAGCTAATGACAATCAGATTCCCTTTTGTGTGTGTAATATGTAGCCAAATCATTTTAAATGCAAATGTGTTCTAAAGGAATGTACATTAAAATATGTATATTTAATAAGTTCTAGGATGTTGGGTTGTTGAGCTAAACAGACAAAAGCAAAGGAAATTTAGAATTAAGGCAGAGTCCATCCTTAGCACAAGATATCCACTCGTACCCAGAGAGAGGTAGAGAGCAGCTGCCAGATAGTTAACTCTGTTGGTTTGAGCTGTCTCTGCTACATTTATTACCCTTAATTACTTTCCGGGGAATACTGTCCACCCTCTGTCGGAATGCACTTGGGACGGAGGATGCGGTGGAAGCAGTTCAGTTCTTGTGGGTGATTGGGTCTTAGCCTGCATGCACTGCATGAGGCAGAGCACAGCTCCATTCTTCCACCCAAATGGCTAGTTTTGGCCAGCAGAGTGGCAAGTGAGCAGGCGAGGGCTAGCGAATCAGACTGCTGCAGCCCTGTGGTCTTCTGCAGTTCTTAGATTTCCCTGCTGCACAGCGTGCATGGTCAGAGTGTCCAGTGCATGAGTGTTCCCCTTTCCAGTGGGATATTCCTCATAATAACCCAACCAATAGTGGGACAATCATTAGCTTTTGGTATTTATTTAAACACCTAATGCCAGAGCTTCAGCTGATGTACATGAGTATTGCTCCATATCCCAACTGACGCCAGCTAAGACTCTGGCCAGTGTCTGTTCAACTGCAGCAAATTATCCCTCCATAAAGTAAATGGATTAGTCCAAGCTGCTCTCTCAGGATGAGGAAGAGGTCATGTTGAGGATGAACACCTGGGGCTGAGCAGTTTCCATGTTACAGATAAGCCACATCAGTGCTGTAATTGCTTTGCTTTAGTTAAAAAAAAAAGGAGTCTGAGAGTAATGGCCATAGAAATGGCCAGGGAAAATTGATTTCCCTAAACTGGGGCATATATGGATTAGAGCTAGCCTGGGGTTTCAGAGCCATTGCTTTCAAGCAGGAGACTGCAAAATGATCACTAAATTGAAAGGGCAGCTCTGTTGGAACTGCCAATTACTAGTCATGTATGGGTTGGGTATTTTTAGTTTAATTGGGAAGTATTTTAAAAGGCTGCACAAATCATGTGCATGAGTTGTGAACTTCATATTTTCTTAAACAATTTACTGGGAAGAAATCCTGGAGGAGACGAGAAAGGCTCCACAAAACAGTTTATAGATGCCCTCTGCGTACCAGAGCCTCGTTAAAAGTCTCCTGGTTTTGTTCTGGGTTTATTGCACTACACACAAATTTAAAAACTGCTGATACAGGAATTCATATAGGCTTCAGAAAAATATCTTTGTACAGGGCTTAGTCCCAGTATGGATTTCCACAGGTGTGTCCTATATTTCACCATCTTTTTTTATCGGACCTTGTGTGTGTGAGACAGAAGTGGGGTATAGCTGCTATCAGTAATTGGTTTTAATTATTTACAGGCAATCACAGTGCAGCTATTGATTGTTTACATAACACTGAATCCTTCCAGATAAGAGCATTGTATTCATTTGGTTTCTGCTACTAATTGCTATCCTTCAGGGTGTCTCTGAGGGTATGTCTATACTATAGAGTTCTGTCGGAAAAACAACCGTTTTTTTTGGCAAAACTTGAGTTACGCCCACACTGCAATCACATTCTTCCAAAGGCAAATCGAAAGAACAGAGGGGTTTTTCCAGCGTTGGTAATCCTTTTTCTAAGAGGAAGAAGTCTTTTTTCCAAAAGAGTTCTTTTGCAAAAAGGCATGTGTGGACGGGGAAGAGGGAGTTCTTTTAGAAGAAGAGGAAAGAGCAAAAAGCACAGATACCCTTGTGGCCCCTCCATCCATAGCAATCCCAGCTGAAATGTGAGATAGCGTCCATTCAGTGTGGATGCTATGTTCTGAAAAAGCAGATGGCTTTTTCAATGTGCTTTTGTGTGTGGACTCTCTCTTTCGGAATAAGTTTTTTTGGAAGATCTCTTCCGAGAAAAGCTTTTTCTGAAAGACACCTGCAGTCTGGATGTAGCCTGATTGACTAGGGCAAAGTCCCAATGCAAGGCTCTTTGTCTCATTTCTGTCCTCATTTCTGTGCACCGCTTTGAACACATTCCCCTCACCTCAGGAGCTGCTGATTCCATTCTCCTTCCCCACATGCTACTGTGTCCATTGCCAAACACTGCAAAAGGCATTATTCCAGTTTTTGTCCCTCAGCTAGGGTCAGGTGCACCTCTCCTCACCTAGGGCTGCACAGAATGGTAACAGAGTCCTCCAGAGCTGTGCAGTTTGGGGAATATTCTAGCTGTCTTTTGTCTACTCCTAAGGGGGAGCTACATTAATCTGCCACTTTAAAAAAACCTTAAAACATGAGGGGTGCTCTAGCACCTTAGGGTATGTCTACACTACCCCGCTAGTTCGAACTAGCGGGGTAGTGTAGACATACCCTAAGGTGCTAGAGCACCCCTCATGTTTTAAGGTTTTTTTAAAGTGGCAGATTAATGTAGCTCCCCCTTAGGAGTAGACAAAAGACAGCTAGAATATTCCCCAAACTGCACAGCTCTGGAGGACTCTGTTACCATTCTGTGCAGCCCTAGGTGAGGAGAGGTGCACCTGACCCTAGCTGAGGGACAAAAACTGGAATAATGCCTTTTGCAGTGTTTGGCAATGGACACAGTAGCATGTGGGGAAGGAGAATGGCATGGGCCTCTTGCTTCACTCGTCATCTGAAGAAGTGGGTTGTGCCCACAAAAGCTCATGATGCTTGCTGTATTTTTGTTAGTCTCTAAGGGTACGTCTACACTAGCTTTTTAGTTCGAGCTAGGTAGGGTAATGAGGGCAAGCGGAGTTGCAAATGAAGCCCAGGATTTAAATATCCCAAGCTTCATTTGCATGTTCCCGGGCTCCGCCATTTTTAAATCCCCCTTAATCCGAACTCCGTGCCCGCAGCTACATGCGGCATAGAGTAGGTAGTTCAAAATAAAGACCCTAATTTGAACTACCTCATTCCACGATGAGTAACGGTAGTTTGAATTAGGTTCTTTAATTTGAACTACCTACTCCGTGCCGCGTGTAGCCGCAGGCACGGAGTTCGGACTAAGGGGGATTTAAAAATGGCGGCACCCAGGAACATGCAAATGAAGCCCGGGATATTTAAATCCCGGGCTTCATTTGCAACTCCGCTTGCCCTCATTACCCTATCTAGCTTGAACTAACGAGCTAGTGTAGATGTACCCTAAGATACTAAAAGGACCACTCATTGTTTTTTAAATGTTTTTGTCTTCCCCGTACAGTGGCAGGGGACCTATATTTTGGAATGAGCAGATCTGTAGGAACTACAGAGCACTGTTTGGATTTTGGTCTCTCTGGTCTTCCCAAGTTTTCCACAGTCTTAGCAGAACAGTCCTTGTTTATGCCTTTCTGCCACTGGCCACGTCCATGGCGTTTGGATACTCATTTCCCTCTAGTACTATGGAGGGGAGAGTACTTATAAACCGGAACAGCTGAACCAGAAGTCATGATTCATTTTGCACCATAAATGCCACCACTTTCAAAGGGACACATGATGAACCGAGGCTCCCCACCCTCTGAGTTGAGAAAGTGGGAAAGGAGAGAGAAAGGAGAAAGGAAGAGAGGCAGCAATGTAGTGATGGTGCCTTCCTCTCTGTGTCTAGGTACACTGCTCTCTGCCCCACGCTGAGCAGGGCAGAATGTCCTAGGAGCAGCAGGGAAAGTGAGGTCTTCATCAGAATTCTGAGATGCATCTTGGATCCCAAGTGCCTGCTCGTTTTGCTACAAAATATTGCAGAATGTTTCTCTCATTGTCCCAATCACTCCTTTATATTCTCTTGTCTCCTTTTACAGAGCGATGAGGTTTTAACTGTCATCAAGGCGAAAGCCCAGTGGCCTGCCTGGCAACCACTAAACGTGTAAGTAGATAGAGAGTGGAGGCTCCCGACAGACTCCTGTTCAGTATCATCTAACAGACTGCTCTAAACCTATTGCCTTACACAATGTTTTGCTCCTGCAAAGAAAAAATATCAAAGTATGTATGCGTTTGGCTTGGGCTTTGGTATTCTGCCAGCAAGTGCCTTTTTGCATGTGTGCATGGAGCTTATTAACTATATCGGGAAAAGAGAAAAAGTTGTATTGTGTTTGAACCTGTATTAAACAATTCAGTGTTTGCATACATATATTAGATCCATGTGTCAGGCTGTCTGGGTGCCAACCTCAAGGCAGGCTTATAAACCAGAGCTCTCTGTTGCAGAAGTTGAGCCAACTCCATTCCCATGTTCTGTGTGGAAAGAGGGTAATTGGATGCCTGGTCAAAGTTCATGAGCAAAGCTCAGGTCCTGACCTTTCTGGGCAGTGGTTCCTAAACGTTGTACTCGTGACCCCTTTCACATAGCGCACCTCTGAGAACAAGCCCCTCTATAAATGGAAAACAATTGTTATATATTTAACACCATTATCCCATCACAGTCCCTCATGTAGTAGTAATATGACCCGCTGAAAGGTCCTGACCCCCCACTTGAGAACCCCTGTTTTAGCGGAAATACCTCTCCCCTTGCTAAACTCTTCAGGATCTTTCGTGTCAAATCACCCTATGGCCATGTTTTACTCACTGTGACTAATCTTAAATTTTTTAACTCTTAATATCAAGAGACATAAAAAATGATGGAGTGGTACATGGTGATGGGGAGCGGTCACTTTTAGGGTGTGCCTAGACTACAAGGTTTTTTTTAAAAAAAGTGGCCTTTTTCCAAAAAAACTTCCCCTGTGTCTAGACTGCTGCCGCCTTCTTTCAAAAGTAAATTGAAAGAATGCAGCTGTATTTTCTACCACAGAAAATCTTGTTTTAGGAGGAATAATGCCTATTTTTCTGAAAGTGCTCTTTCAAAAAAAGGCGCTATGTAATGCAAACTGTGCTTTTTCAAAAAAGAGCATACAAACTGCCTGTGTGCTCTTATTAGAAAAAGTGGCTTGCTTTTTCGAAAATACTGGTTGTAGTCTAGACACGCTTTTGAAAGTATCTTTCAAAAAAGCCTCTTTCGAAAGAGGCTTGCAGTCTAGACGTACAGGCTAAGCCAGATCACTTGGTGTGGTAAGCTCATTTGAAAAGATGCATGTTTAACACTGATACGTGTAAAAGCCACCAAGGAATAAAATGTGTAGGTTACTCTGGCAAGAAAGGGGATTTAGGGGTTATGACAGAACCACTTGAACGAGTGTCCCCACTCCAGTCATTGCCATAGCTAAGAGGGCTAATACGATATCTGCATGTATAAGCAAGACAGTATCACACAGGAGAGAGAAGCAAATGGTGGCAGCAGTTCTATATACTGTACTAGTGAGACCATTACTGGAATAGAGTGTCCAGTTCTGATGTCTACACTTTTAAAATGATGAAAAATTAGAGAGAGCTCAGAAAAGGTTTACAAGAATGTTTCAAGTACTGGAGAACATGCCTTATTGAGAGAGACTTAAGAAGCTATTTAATTTATCCACAGAAAGGTTAACAAGTGACTTCAAAACAGTCAGCAAATATCCATATGGGGAAGAGTTTTCTGACAGCAGAAGGAATTTTAGTCAATCAGAAAAAGCTGAACAAATTCAGACTGGAATAAGGGACAAAATGTTAACAATGGGGCAGTTAACTCCCCATTAAGAGACAACTTACCTTGAGATGCAGGGGAGTCTAATGCTGAGGTCTTTGACTTAAGATTAGATATTTTTATAGAATGTATGCTACAGCTCAAAAAGAGCTTTTATTTTCAGATAGTAGCGGATAGAGTCCTCTGGTCTATTTTATGCAGGAGATCAGACTATACAATCTGAATTGTTCCTTCTTGCCTTAAAATTTATAAATCTGTGGTGTTGCATGAGTAATTATCTCCCCCAGTACTTAGAGTCTTCTAGTATGTTCTTCTTTAATATAGGTAATGGGCATTCCACAGTTCAGCTGTGGCCATTATTAGGGGCTACATCTACACTGCAGCACTATTTCGGGACACTGGAGCTATCCCGACATAGCTACCCCATTATTAACAGCAAGCCCATTATTTTGAAATATAACAGACCCGCTATTCTGACATCCTTGTAAACCTCATTCTACGAAGAGTAAGAGATGTTTTGGAATAGCGGGTTATTTCAAAATGTACAAAATAAGCTATTTTGAAATTGACTCAAAGTAAGCTGTGCAATTTGCGTACTCAAATTACGTAGCTTATTTTGAGCTACGGGTGCAGTGTAGACACACCCTAGATGGCCAACTTTACTTCTCACCAGCTCTCAGTTTTGAATAACTCACTGGGATTCCCTAGATCAAGCTCCAATGTCTTTGTATCTGTTTTTTGCCTGCTTGTCTTTTAAAACTCAGTCTTCATTCCACCACCCAATTTTATTGCAGTGGGATCTGTTTGGCTCAGAGGAGCCTTTATTTTATTATATTTGTTTTGCCTCCAATTTTGTGACCGAGCTCTGGTGATGTTTTGCATCAAAGTGCTCACCCCAGGAAAGGTTTGCCTTGGTGTTCAGCATTGTCAAGGCTTTGGCATAGCCAACATAGGGTGGGTTTTTAACTCTCTGCTTTTTCTTGTGTTGGAGATGAAGAGAAGGTTTGCTGCTCCAGGGAAGTAAATTCATCATCTTTAAAAAACATTAAATTAATACATAAAAATCAAAGTTAGTGAAACTATAATACAGAGGTTTTTAATCACAAGATCACCTTTTCAACTTAAATGCAACATAAGCTCTACCTCAAACCCAAATACTCTTGTCCCACCTCCTTCCTGCCCCTTCTTTGAGGCCCCGCCTCTGCTCCAAGGCCTCACCATGCTCACTCCATCACCCTTTTCCCCCCATCCTCAACCACTTTCACCAGACTGGGGTAGGTGGGTTGGGGTGCATGCTCTGGTCTTGGGTTATGGGGTTTGGAGTATGGGAACAGCTCTGGTCTTAGCCCAGGGTGGGGGATTTAGATCCAGGAAGGATTGTCGGGCACAGATGTAAATCGTTTCTACATGATTTTTATTAAGGGTTATTATAGCAGCATATTGTGTTCCCCTGTCAGAACTGAGACCCCATTGTGCAAAGCACTGTATGCACCTAATATAAGACTGACCCGAGCAACTTAGTCCAATTTATATAAAGGATCTAATAGGAAAATAGGATCTAATTTTCAGTCGAGACCATTCAGACCTGAGATGGCCTTTCAGTCCTTAGGTGTGACTTTCCTAGTACTTACTCCTCAGCTTCTATGTAAAAGAATATCAACTATCAAGAAACAGTGTCTAGTGTAAGTATTGTCCATTATATCTGTGTTCCCCAAGAGTATGTCTATACTACAGTGTTATTTTGAAATATCTTATTTCAAAATAGTTCTTTTGAAATAGTTTAGTTCAAAATAATGTATCTACACACAAAATGCATTTCAAAATAGCATTTTGCTATTTCAAAATAGCGCGTCCACTCTGAGTGGACTCTGAATCACATTTAAGGCTGGCCGGAACCAGTTCCAGCTGGGCACCAGGTCAGGAATTATTGTGTGGGGCTGCTGCTTGAGGCTATCTGAGGTCTGTGCTTAAAGGAATGCCCCCGCCCCACCAAAGAGCCAGTTCTAAGGTTTCCCTGCTTGCTTATCTACTTCGATGAGGGACAGCAAAGCATTTTGGGTATGTCTACACTACCCTCCTAGTTCGAACTAGGAGAGTAATGTAGGCATACTGCACTTGCAAATGAAGCCCGGGATTTGAATTTCCCAGGCTTCATTTGCATAAGCGGGGAGCCGCCAGCCATTTTTAAATCCCCACTTGTTCGAACCCCGTGTAGCGCGGCTACACAGGACTCGAACTAGGTAGTTCGGACTAGGATTCCTATTCCAAACTACCGGTACACCTCATTCCACGAGGTGTAACGGTAGTTCGGAATAGGAAGCCTAATCCGAATTACCTACTCCGTGCCGTGTGGAGCCGCGGGC